GTCAAATCTTCCACATAAATAGATAGAAAGGTGATAGAAAAAGAAAAAGAATAAAAGAAAAAATAAAAATAGGAGAAAAATATATTATGTAAAAAAAATAATCTTTTTAAATACTATTCATTTTTCGGATGCTTATACTTTTCCTTTATGAAGTTATAGAAAGGAAATAATATTTAAAAGATCTTCTTTTAATGAACTGTTGACAAATAGTCTTCTTTACAATAAATTAAACTTGACATTCACTTGTTCTTAATTTATGAAAAAAAAAATAATTTCAAAGTATCTTTATCGAAATGAAGAAAAACATACTTTCATTAAATAAATTTATAATTTGGTCTTTAAAAATAAAATTTATATTGAATTGCTATTTAAAAGATTATGTGCATACAATTTAGTTGCCTAAATATGCAAAGTTTATTATAAATTAGTCTTTCTGGTTATATATAACTGTTGAAATGGATAAGTTGGCACATTAATTGTATGCGTAAAATGTCAAACGTCATATAAAAAATGTTTAAGTGAATGTGGAATGCATGTATATACAATTTAATTCTCGAACATGTATGGTTTCATTACAAATTAGTGTTTTCAGTTATCATCGTTAAGATTGTTCAATGAAATAATTACGTTGGCATAATCCCACACACTAGACCATTAAATGTCTCATGAAACATGCCTAGGTGGATGTAGACATAGAAATAAAAGGAAAGTGAATAAAAAATGAAAAAAAAAGAATGAAGAAATTAAGGTTCAAATTAGAAGTGATTAATCGGTTAATGATAATCATGGTTAGTTAACTACTGTGTTGTTGTAATGTGTATGTTGCAAATAGAATTTTTGTCCAAAGTATAAATATCATTTTCAGAAAAAACAAAAAGTGGCATGCGAGCACATTCATTTTCAAAATATATTGCTTACAAAAGTAATCCAAAGCATTTTGCAAATAATAAAAAATATTCAAGTAGCATTTTGCAATAGCATCTTAAACTAATTACTTTGAACTAGTGTCGTCCCTTGCATCCTTGGGTCTACCTAATGATGTAGCTAAACATGCTGCAAATAGTGTTTTCCTAGTATCAATAAGCATTCAACTCCACGTATATATTTTAGCGTTGATCATTAGTTGAGAGATGGTTGACTTGATTTAAGAGGAACTAATATGTTAAGGATTATTATGTCAAATCATATTGATATTTGGAAAATTTTGGGTCTAATTGGATTCGAATAATGTAATGTCTTTGTAGGTATACTCGTGCTCACCTAATTATATATATTTTAAGTGTTTTTGTAGGTATTACTTGCCATCAACTTCTATTAATTGAAGACATTTAGCAGTAGGATTGTAAGATAAGAGCATAGGAAAAGGTAAAATTTTCTCGGTACATTATCTGGTTAGCATTAAGAGAACAGCCACTAATCAAGTGCAACAGGTCAACAAAAGGAAGTTAGTTTTACATAGGCTTGCATTATGATAAGATTGTGTTGCTATCACAAGTTGTTGAATATTTCTTTTAGCTGGTAAATGATGCATACCTCGTTATTGGAAGACTTTGTATTTTGATTTGCAACCCTACCACAATGACCCGTAACCTGCTCACAAATCATGCTTAATATGAAGATTAATTTCTCATAATCTCCTAATTATTATTATTTTTAACTATTTGCTCATTTTCTTTTACTTTTCTATGTACACAGGCATGTTCCATATGTGATTTTCATGTTTCATAGAAAGCGCTTATTTAATCATCTTGCTAAACAATTTTTACAACATTGATAAAAGGATTAATTTTAATGAACACTACATGCTTAGGCATATTTTACACTACAATTAGCATTCCGCATGTATACAGTAATTTGGCAACTAAATTATGCAGTTAAACAATTTTAACAGCTGTTTATGAATTTTACAAATTTATGGGAAAAGCTTAGAACTTATTTCATAAAGGTGCAGTTTTATTTTGATGGATGATAAAGCTCATACACAGCTCGCTTATTACGTTACTACTGTTATTTTATTGTTACTGACCCAGTTGTTTTATCACAAAACTTTCGCACTTATATTTTAGAAAGACATTATGATCATTTTATGAAAATTCTTTTAAGAAGAAATTGAAGGAAATCTTAACCATTAAAAATGTTTTATTGTATAAATGACATAAATATGATTCAATAACACAATTTGTTTTTGAAAACTGTAGAAGATTCTAATCTCTTAAAGGTGATAATGAAAACAAGCTAATCCTATGTTATTGGTTGGGAGATAATAACACATTGATCTTATCTCTCTAGCCATTGGTTGGATTGGGCCCAACAAAAGGTTCCAAAGGGTACTTTTTGTCCGTCGGCATTAAAGGATATTTCTGTACAGTGTTTACCATTAAAAACTTATTAGCTAAAAGGTGAAAGGTTCTTATATGCTGCTTATGGAATCTTCCTCTAAGAATAAATACATCAACCTTTGGACATAATTATACATGGAACTAACACTATTACAAAAGAAGCAAATGCATTGAATGGTGGATAAGCTCTTTGGAAGCAAAAAAACAAAATAAAAAAGAGAGACCTTTTGCTTTCAAAGAGAAGACACCACCCAGTTTTAACTAATCCATAATGAATTCAATACCGACGAATAGAAATTTTTATCCGAATATAAGCTTTCTACTGGTGAATATTTTATGATAAAATTTTGTTGAGGGTACATAAGTGATATCTAAAAATAATTTTTTTTAATTTGTGCAACTTTGTACAGGATAAATTTTAATAAATATACCATTTAATTAATAAGAGAAGGGGAAAAATAATTTTTTTTAAAAATTATAATAAAATAATTAATACATATTAATTAAGTGGTGTATTTATTAGTGTTTATTCTGTGCAAAGTTATACAGATTAAAAAATTTGTATAAAACAATATTTTAATTTGATTTCTAAAATTATAAGTATTTATTATATTTTAGTTATGAACTTTGTAAAACTGATTATTTTTCATTATTTATTATTATTTTATATTAAAAATTGAGGTAAATGCTTATATATATTATAAACTGAGAGACTAAAATAGAAGTTTATTCTAAAAAGGAGAAGAAGCTAAATATAATTATACATTCCCCCTTCCCCAAAATGTAGAGAAGAATCGACAAGTTACACATAAAGTCTTTGTTCGTGAAGAATAACGTGACAGAATCATGGAACCTTAATGTGCAAGTTGCGACAGAAATAGGGACCTTAAGGCACGTAGCAAAGACACTTGCCTAGTGAGAACGAAGCAGCACCAAGAAACAATAAACAGCAACAGCATGATCAGCACCCAACACTAACAAACACCACTTGCCGAATGACCGACCCACCCACAATGAAATTTTCTGCCATTAGGGAAAATGTTCGTGAAAAGTTCGGAACAATGACCCATTTGGCTACCCTTCTGAATTCAGAAGGCATGCTTCGTTTGCAATTTTAGGAGTGTTAGTAGGACCCAATGGGTTGAGAGCAATGAGCATCAATTTGGCAAAGGCATTGAAGGCGGCGTAAAAAGCGAGTACCCTCAACGCTCGTCGAAGTCGGCATCACTTTTTGCCCTTTTTTTTCAGTGTGGGTCCCTTTTCTCTCTCTCACGTCATCCCCATCCTTAGCCACTACATCTCTTGGCTCTCATTCACTACTTTGCTGACTCATCTGCCACCTGTCACCACCCTAGCTTTTTCCACTATTTCTTTTATTATCAGTCATATCATAAGTATAATCATCAGAAATTAACATTAAGCCTTTTCCTTCATTTATATTCTTTTAAATATACTTTTATCTTAACATTTTAAGAATTATCGATTTTAAAAATGTGTCAATAATATATTTTTATTATTATTTCTTTTTAATTTAATAATTAATTTAAATAATATTTATTAAAACTAGTGGTTATTGACTTTTCTATGTTAGTGTGAAGAGAACGGAAGATGAGACATTTAAATGTTTAATGATATTAAGAAAATCTAAAAGAGGAAAGTGATAAGGAAGGAGAATTTTATAATCTATTATGTACGGTCCAATGTTTTAATTTCGTCTGGACGTTTTGCCAAAACATTAGAAAAAGAAAAAAGGACAGCACTTTTTCCTATGAATAAAGGCCATTTATTTGTTTTTCTTAAAGACGTACAAAATTGAAATGCTTAAAAAAGAAAAGTAAAATAAGAGATTTTTTTAACTCCTTTTAAAACAAATAATTTTATTTTATTTTATTAATTCTCCTATTTTATCAAATTAATTATATCATTTTTATAGTATAAAATTTTAACAAAATTAATGAAAAGTATTATAAAAAGATATAGTATTATTTAATATCTTTTAATAATTAAATATTGATTATAATTAAATAAAAATTTAGAATTATAGATTGAACTTATTAAATTGAATATCAGACTTACATCAATTTATAAATTTTAAAAGAATCAACTAATATTATAATTTATTTAATTATATTGTTAACTAACAAAAAAATATTGTTAATATTTTTAAGGATGTTGTTAACTAACAAAAAAATATTGTTAATATTTTTAAGGAAGATTGATAATTTTGTTCACTAATATTTTAAAATTTTAATTTAATTTAAAACCTTTTTATTTTTATTTTTGATCAAATGTTTTTTTATAAACTACACAACATAATTTTGTTATGAGTCGAGATGGATCAATCAGACAGCACAACCTTAGATTAAAATTAAAAGATACAGAACGAATATAAGTAAAAGAAAATGATCAATTTTAAATTAAAATTAAAATAAAAGACAAAATCGATAATTTTACATATTTAGAAAAACCTATAAGGAAAAAATAAAGAATAAAAAAGAAAGCTTAAAAGGATGGTATTGTGTCTCTGATGCCTCATGTTCTTTGTGCTTTTTGCAGGGTGACTTTTTCATTCAGAGGGTTTTGTGGGTTTTTAAGTGCAAAGTTTCACCTTTCAAAAGTTCTGTGGAAACAAAAGCCTCTCCTTTTTACTCTCTTTCTTTTTCTCTCTCTTTCTATATCTCATTCTTTCTCTATTCTATCTATATCTATGTGTCTTGGAGCTGCTGAGAAGCCTCATAGTATTCTGCAACAACAACACTAACATAAATGAGTAGTGAAGGGGACATGTCTGATAAGGATCCGGGTATTAGGCTCTTTGGCAGGAAGATTTCGTTACCGGAATCTCAGATTCCGGCGAGTTCTCAGATGGGGTGTCAGATTCAGGCCAACTTTGCAACCATGGTACATGCTCCTTAACTCATACCCACTAACCGTTATTATTGGACTAACATAGTCTTTGTTCCATGGATTTTTGTTGTTACCAAAAAATCATTCCTTTTACTATGCTATATATAGCTGGTTACTACAATTATTTGTTCCGGCTTCAGAACATTTTGAAGCATAAGGAGTATTTATTCCTGGGAATTTATTTTTTAGCAAAATTTTAAGAATATGTATTTGATACACGCTCAGATTCATCTTGTTTTAAATTTGTATTTGACTATATATATATATATATATATATATATATATGAATTTGGTAAATTAAGACTAAGGTTGGTGAAGTTGTCATCTATGAGTAGTTAGCTTTTTAAAGCAAAATTATCAGTGTATTGTTTTGTTTCTGATATCAAATAGGTTCTGTTAATTTTCTGTGGTACTTTTCTGCTTTTGTGAAAGCTGGCTATATTGCTGAAAGAAATATAACATTAATTTGTTTCATCTTTAATTGATTATAAACCAATCAATTGCTTTCCATTTTAAGACCAAAAATGTTGATAAACTTTCATAGTACTAGAATCTTTCATTTTTTTTTTCATTTTTTTTTTTTTTTTTTTTTGGTTTCCCTTATCAGCACTTCAGCAAGTTTGCATCAAAAGAATTTGGTTTCTCTTTTTCGATTATATATTTTTCCTCTCCTTTCTCTTGCAGTTTCTAAGTAGCCCTCCTCCTGATCCTCCTGTTTTGCACAGTTCTTTGTCTTCACAATTCTTTGAGACAAGAAAAACAAGTAAATATCCATTTTATACCTTCAATTTACAAGCATCGAATCATTTTAATTTCTGATTTCACAAAATTCTCACTTTAATCCTTGATTTCACTAAACGACGTTCATTTTAGTCTTTTTTGATGTAAAATGACAACAAAAAAGTAATTTTAAGGACTAAATTGATTGACGGTTATAATTTACTGCAAAAAAACCACTTCACTATCACTCAAATCCAAAAAATTCTAGGTGCTATTTCTGGTGGTTTTTCAGGGCATTTATACAATTCATGCCTTCAAAATGTCATACTGTTTATCAATTCAAAATTTCTAATATACACTCAGTTCACTGCTTGATCAATTACAGATACATTCATTTATCTTGAATTGGATATGGTTTGATAGGGGTAATCAACTGGAATTGAGACCGATTAGTAATATAAATGACAAGACATGGTTATATAAAGAACTAATAGTCATGTCATGACCTAAGAAAATTCGCATTCTTAATGGAGATTAATATTGTAGTGCTTACATACTGTGTGGACTGGCATTTTATAGTTTTTGATGGAAAATGAATATATCATGATGATTGTGTTCCTTCATTTTGTTTCTTTTCTATTCTCAAGTTTGTTACAAGTTCTGCTTGACTTAATAGTGATTTATGGTTTTAATTTTAGAATGCTTGCAGTGGCTTAAAGAAAACAGAAGTTGAAATGCCGTGTACTGAAAACTCTCAGCAACCAGAGCATTCTTCTGATTTAAGGGATAGCAGACAAGAGTCCCTACATAATGGAAAGGAAAATGAGTCAAAAGTAAATACCAAGCCTGTGGAAGATAACATGGACAATAGCAGTACAGATCAAGATAAAATCTTTAAGAAACCAGACAAGATTCTTCACTGTCCACGATGCAACAGTCTGGACACTAAATTCTGTTATTTCAATAACTACAATGTTAATCAACCTCGGCATTTCTGCAAGAACTGCCAAAGGTATTGGACCGCGGGTGGAACAATGAGAAATGTTCCCGTGGGTGCCGGGAGACGGAAGAACAAGCACCTAGCTTCTCAATACCGGCACATTATTGTAGCTTCTGATGGAATTCCGTCTACAAGGTTAGAAACCAAAGACTCATCTAGTCACCAACTTGTCTCAACTCTTGAATCTGCTGCTGTTTTCAGGTCTTCAACAGATAATGGTACTGTATTGAAATTTGGTCCAGATACACCTCTCTGCGAATCTATGGAGTCAATGCTTAATCTTAAAGACCAGAAAAGAAGTGTTGACGCAAACTCTAACAACATTGCAGAAAATGGGGAGGACGAAGTATCCTTATGTGGATCATCTGTGACAAATGCTTGTAATCCAAGAAATGAACTTCCAGAACATAATGCATCAAAACCTTTGCAGTGTTACCCTGTTCCTCCTTGGATATTCCCTTGGAATCCAGGTTGGAACAATGTTGCTTCTGCAGCAGCAGTTCAGCCATCCTCACTTCACATGTGTAACCCTTATAGCGCTGACCACGCTTCAATGCAGTGGTGTCCCACGCCGATGGTGGCCGTCCCAACCATTTGCCCACCGAGCTTTCCTTTGCCATTTGTTCCTGGATCATGCTGGAGTGGACCACCTATGTGGGGTGCTTCTGGAACAGGAACAGTTTCAATAGGTTTCAATGGTTGCCTTTCACCTTCTTCCTCTACTAGTAACAGCTTCTGCTCAGGAAATGGCTCCCCAACGCTTGGCAAACACACACGAGACAAGTTTTTCACAGATGAAGAGAAATCAGACATGTATGTTTTGGTTCCAAAGACCCTTAGAATTGATGATCCAATTGAGGCCTCAAAAAGTCCTATATGGGCTACCTTAGGAATCAAACCTGATAACCATCAATCTCTATCAGAAGATGCTATTTCCAAAAAGGAAAAGCCTAAAGAAGGCAAAGACCGTGTGATGGGTGTGTCTCAAATCTTGCAGGCTAACCCTGCAGCTATTTCTCGTGCTCATGCATTCCAAGAGAGCATATAATGATTAATGCGTTTCTAGCTTCAAGTTTACCGTTGATAATCTTGTGCATATATTTCTTGGTTCACATGCAGAAAATTTGTTTTGCAGGTAGCATTGTTACTTTTGTCTAGTCCATTGTGTAATTTCATTTTGATGGTGTACTTAAATCTATTTTTGAGTTTTGCTCTCTGAAATTGATCATTCATGGAAATGCAAGAGCAACAATAATACAGTGATCACTACATCACTAATTGCAAGTTTAGAAATTGTTTTTGTACGTAGCTCCATATCTTGAAGAAATTCTTAAGTTCTCTGTAATGGTAATCAATTCAATTAAATATCATTACAAGTGGTACTGAAATTAATTTTAAACCATAAGAAATGAAGTAAAGATTTTTTATAATGTATTATATGATTGAAGTTATCGACTTTTACGACAATTACATTAAAATTCAAATTTAACGTGATTTTTAATTATTTAAATATATAAAGTCTTTATATTTAATCACTCAATTATCTTGTATAGACTAGTAAGTTTTAGAAGGCGAGCATGGGTTTAGACGACACTGAAGATTTGCTTACTGTTTTGATTCAATTTTCCAATTTGAGAAAATGCGATCGCAAGAAAAAAAATTGGCTGGACATAAAAAGGTTGAAAATACTTGTATATTTCTTTTGATAAAATTATCAAGAGGGGTAAAAAAATATAAGTTAAAAGGGTAGTAATTCTTGCACGAATTTACATCACATTTTTCACATGTTGCATACAAGTTATTGAATAATATTTTAATTTTGTTGTAAACTTTTAGGGTGGAGTACATTATATGTATCACATAATTTGAACTAGTGATTTCATTTATTGCAACACATGTCTGCAGATTTTAGCAGTTAGGAATTCTCTTTTACATTGGTCTAGTCATTTACGCTTTTTCTTTTTCTGTCAATTTGCTGAGGACTTATTGGTAATGCTTTGAAGTGCAGTTCTCACAACGCTTTTTTTTTAATTTTTTTTTATCGTGTGTGCTTTTTGCTTTACCTCTTTTTTCTTCATCTTTCTTTCACACAATTAATCTTTTTGACTTGGCCAAAGTTCGTATATATATATGTTAAAGCCTAGTTTCGGGGCTTGCTTTTTACACTGGAAAGATCCCTTTACTAAATAAGTGGAGATATTTACTTGTGGGAATATCAGCTTTTATGACTCATCTTATGCCTAAAGAGTGGTTCAAATAATGCACTTGATTTGACCAATTAATAATAATGCATTTAAGGCATTCTTTTCACTCATTGAAAGACCCACAACAATTCTTTTTTAAAAGCCATATTATATATATAATTTTGATTTTATAGTATTGACTATTGTCATCTTGCATTTAGTTTGATGATGGCCCCCTTAGGGGTTAATAAATTTCTGTTCATTGGTTCAAATTTTAATTTCAAATTAAAATTACTTACAAGTTAGGCTGAGTCTGGTTTATAAAAACGAAATCGATCTTATCAGTTAAAATAGAGAAAAATAGAGCTCTAGGTTGAATCATTAAAAGAATATGAAGAATAAGAAAAAAAATATTTAAAAAAAAATCAGGTTTGATCAAGTTCAACAACATATGCAAATTCGAAAGTCATTGCAATTAGATCGAATTTAACATAATTAAATTCAATGTGATTCATTGATCTAACATAATTATCCTTTACCAAATGCATAACGTTAAATGTTACCAAATGAGTTTTTTTTAATAATAATAATTATTTTATAAAACAAGTATTAAATAAATTAGTGTTTTAAACAATTATTTAATAACACAGTAAATACTAATACACAGTAAGCTTATTTTAATTAAAAATCACATAAAATTACTAAATTCAATATCTTGATAATATTAAATGTTACAACTTTTAATAAAAAATTATATTTATTGATTTCTTATATTTAATATTTTTGTTTAACAAATAACAAAATTTATAAAAAAAATAAAGAGAACCATTCCAATAACTGATGAGAATAAGGTAAATTTAGCATGGATGAAGATATCATTCATTATCAAATTGGCAACAGCAGCACATTATGAGTCGGTGACCATGCAGTTATGATAACCTTTCTTTTTCCACAACCTTTTAGATTTTGGATACACCAAGATCACGTGGAGAAATTATTGTGGTGATGGTGGCCAATAAGCAAATGGCGCGTGTGAAGGGGGTTGTTATGGTGGAATTGATGCATTAAGTAGTGAACCTCTCCCACAAAACATTACACGGCCACAAAGTTGATGAAGCAAAAGAAATAGGAGCCACCAGAACATAAGCATCTCAGTGCCACAAATTGCCACTTCCACTAGTTATTTCACTTGTCAGCCCTTTATGAGGCTCTGCTATTGCTCCCAGACTCCCATGCCTCTCCATATTTATGGGGTGGGTAGCCAGCTAGCGTGAGTTTTAATATTTGAAAATATAAATATATATATTATTTTTATGTGTTTATTGTCGCTTTTATTTCAAAATAATTAGGTAAAATAATTTTATTATTAACATTTATAAAAAATAAAAAAATAATTTCAGTCCTAAAATTAAAAATAAATAATTAATAACAATAAAATTTTATTAAAAAAATATTTATTGTATTTTTATAACTTTAATATAATAACTGTATATTTTTATAAATTTTTTTTATTTATAAATACTTAAACTTAGAGTTGAGATTAATAAAAAAATTTAAATAATAATTATTTGAATATAATAATAATAAATATTTAAGAGTACCAATAAACATATCATTTAAAAAACATATATTTCAGTAGCAGTTTTTAAATATTGTCAAATATTTCAGTTCATAATATGGTAAGGTTAATTCTCGGTGATTTCTTTTCTTCATTCTTAGAAGTTTGAACTTAAACTTTATTTAAGGAGAATATATACTAAGATTTAAGAAGAATATATTATATTTTTAGCTTTGTCTTTTTATCATGGTTTATGGTAAGAGAAATTTAAATGATATTATAGCTGAAGCTAATTTTGCTTACTAATTGATATATGCTTGTTATTTCTATTATTTTTACATGCGATTATTTTTACTTATTAATTTTGATCTATGTTTTATTTTATTAGAATATTTAGATACATGTTACTTGTTTAAAAATAATATAGTTTGTATATATTTTTATTATTATTATGACTTATGGGGTGAGATAAATTGGAATAATATTGGAGCCAATTTTGCAAAACGCTCAACGTTAATTTTTTTTCCTTGTTCTATTCTTTTATTCAAATCACATATGATTTACTAATTCTCATAGAGAACCTTTATTTTTCAAGGCATTTAATTATTTTTTTAAATGTATAATCAAAACTTAGAAGTTAGAATAGTATTATATTTTTCGATGTATTTATGAACTAACAATGAACTTCTTGATTTTTTTCGCACTGCTGTTGTGTTTAGACGTATATTGTTTATGGAAGGAATTTATTAAACAATCACATGTATAGTCTAATTTGACAGAGTGACTTTTTATTTTATTTGATCTTGTTAATAAAGTTTAATTTTAGAATATTTTAAAAGTATTAATTTGATTCTTTAAAATCGGTTGCGTCATATCCGATTTTAAAAATTCAGTTTCAAAATTGATTGTTAACTAATTTTAAAAAATTTACTATTTAAAATTGGTTGTTTCAAAATCGATTAAACAACCGATTTTAAAAATAAAAAATAACCGATTTTAAAAATATTTTTTCCATTAGTGATGCATGTATATAATAAGCAAAACAAATAATATGACATTTTAGAAAAATATAACGGATTTATTTGTTCTATCACTGTATAATTAATTTTCTTGAAAAAAATTAAATGTATTTTATAAGTATGAATTGTACCTTACAAAATTTAAGTTTTTAAAGATGCTGCAAATGATAATGTTTTTTTTAATTATAAAAAAGAAGTTAATATGTTATGACATATTTTTATTACCATTTTGAAAATGTTTAGAACAAACATATTCTTGCAAAATTTTTAAAATATTGTAAAATAGTTCAATTGATGATATTTATAAAATATTATAAATAATATGCTAAAATATTATAAAATATCTCCATTACGACTATAAAATGTTACAAATGAGAGATTATAGTATTGCTAAAAATAGTAAACATCAATTTTATATTACATTTTGTCAAGATGTTACTAATTATAATTTATAACATTTTCATAATTTAGTAACATTTTAATTTTAAATATCGTTAAAACTTAATCATGTTGCAGTCATCTTCATAAAGGGGTAATAGTTGTGTGATTTGGGTTGGGTTTATAGGAAACAATTTTACATATAGGTTACTATTGCATGTGTATAAGGTGGATGGTGAAATCTTAGATTACCATGGTGCAATAGCCCAAAGTAGTGGTTTCATGGAGTTTAGGTTACCGCTGTTTCTTATATTGCCTAATTCATTGCACATTCAGTTTGAAGCTTTTGTGGTATCCTAATAGAACTCCTGATGTTGGGTTTGTGGTATCCTAATAGAACTCCTCATGTTGGGCCATTAGGACAGGGCCAAACTCACTTGTTTGGGATTTTACTTTCACTAGTGGATTCTTATCAAAATATGGTCAAATCCATAATATTCGGTTTGGAATTTTTTAATATCATGTCTGAAGTATAAGAATGATTTGGAAAACTTTAAAGAAGGTGCCCTCATCATAGTTTTCATGTGTGGAGGCAGATGCAAACTTTTTATAGTAGGTTATCAGTCTTTAGTAGAATCACTATTGATGCAGTAGCTGAAGGATCTCTCATGAGAAAAGACTAATGAAATATATAAATTGGTGGATAAGATGACATCTATCAGTGGCACACAATCGATCCTTACATGAGTAAAAGAAGAAGGTCGCTTCAATGTATCTAGTAGAGAGTAATAATAATCTAAAAACTAAATTAAAAGTTTTGACTAAGTAGGTGAAATATTTAATGAGAGTATAAAGACAATTAACAAAGCTACCTTCAACTTCTATATGTGAGCATTGCGACTCCTTGGGTCATGCTAATAGTAACTGTCCAATTACTAAAATTGAAGAGAAAGCTAATTTCACGATTAGTAATTACAACTCAAGGTGGCGAAGTAACCCTTCTAATTCTTAAGAGAATAATTTTGAAAGACAAAAATCAAATGTTTATATCCCTCTCCATGCACAAAATTAAGAAGTAAGACCAGAAAAAAATGAGACCGTTAGATCTCAATCTAAATTTAAAGAGTAAATGATACAATATATGTATTATTATGATAAGAGGATGTTAGAGCTCGAATCTAAGTTAGAGCAACGCGTTGAAAGGGAGGATAAAAAATTCACCAAGATTAAATCAAAGATTAGATTATAATCTTCAGCGATCAAGTCACAACTTGAACCTACTAATATTTTAAGTTATAAGATATTGGGAACATTGTCAACCCAACACGAACTTAATGCAAAAGGATCAATCCAATTTTATCACTTTAAGAAGTGGGAAGAAGGTACAAGAATCGCAGAAAAAAGGCATAAGCACTCCTATACTTCATGATATGCACGCCTATGTTCCCCTACAAGCATGACCATGCTACGACATGCACGCCTAGCCGATTTAGGATCATGGCCATGCATCCCCATAAGCAATGTTGTGCTTTAAGTGCAGAGACTGAGAAAGAGAAGAAAGAATAATCCCCTACACAAATAAGATCCTATGATCCTAGAATACCTTTCCCACAATGACTGCAAGGCCAACCACCCTATGACACAAGGTTTGACAAGTTCTTGGATATTTTGGGCAAAATACACATTAACCTTGCTTTTGTTGATGCGATATCTAAAATGCCAAAGTATGCATGCCAAATTCTTGAGTAACAAAAAGAGACTGAACAAACATGAGATTGTAAATTTAACTGAAAAATGTTCAACCATAGTTCTTAAAAAATTTCCACTTAAGCTTAAGGATGCAATGAGTTTTACTATCCCTTGTGTTAGGCTTGTATTATATGTATACATATTTTATTTAAAGATAATGATGTAATCATTTAACTACAATACCTTTGTATTTTGAATGTGATGTCGTATGTTAATTACGGTATGAAATGATTTGGATTATGTATATGTGAGTTGTATAGTTACTGAATAAAAGTTTTGCATTTACAGTGTTGAGAGGTTGCTGTATTTGATATAACTAGCTGTGAGGGTTTAAAATCTAATATTAGGTGTGATATGTGAAATAGCCAGGACTTGTATTGCCTCATGTTAAGAAAAATTAATAGTCTTGTATGTAAGGTATCTCACTCAAACGAGGTATGTCTCGCTCAAGCGAGACTGAATCATGCTAAATTGGTGAAATATTTAAGTGTGAGAACTCTAATTTGATAAGCGATTTGGTGACTTTGGATGATAAATGCTCCAAGGCTTCTCTCTTAAGCCTTGACAGAAAACATCATGGTTTATAGAATGAAGAATAAATCATGAGACAAAGGACACTTAATGCTAAAGTTTTCTCTTATCGTAGAGTACCCTAAGTAAAGATCTCCTTTAGTTAGAAAATGCTTTGAGAGCTTTAAAAGCAAAATAACAATATAACTATATGTCACACTTCTTTATTTTAGAAAGGGAAGCTGCACCTTCGTCTAATACTGATGTGACTCATCAAACACGGTTAAAAAACTACATGTCTACTTTGCAAACATGAGCATCTACCTGTAACACCCTTTTCATGACTTGAACAGAAACAACTCTTACTTCTTAGTGCTTCCAATTGTTGACTTTCCTAAAGAAGGAATGAAATAAAACTGTCGTAATAGCTTTATAACTAATTACCCACAACAACAAGTAACTCATTCGATTCACGCCAATATAAATGAACATGAGAACCACGAAGGGACACCAAGCAATTCTCATTCTCTTTTGCTTAAATTTCCTTCTTCGCATTTCCCTAAGAATGAATTTTAAAATAGGACCAACACTCCTTCAATATTTGTTTTCCGAGCCCCTCCCCCAAACCCCATTCTGAAATACATTTACATCAAGCTTCTATTAAATTAGCATGCAGTAGCTTTAGGCCCCGTGGAACTGCAGTGTCCTTCAAATCCTTCTTGCCACTCTACTTCTGGCGTGAAATATTTCAAGTTCGTAAAGAAAAAGCACGCACCCTCGGTTAAAATTTAAAAGGTTTCTTTAAATACAATTTTTTAAGTTGATTTTAAGCTATTAAAAATAACAAAATTTTATTTAAAAAATAATAGTAATTATATTTTTAATATATTTTTTCTTAATAAAAATATATCACTTTAATTACTTAAAAATTAATTTTAAAGATCAAAGTTAAGATCCAATATAAAATTTTAACTGTTATTTGAGAATAAAATTGTCACTTTTAATCATTTAAAATAAACTTTAAAATTTGAAATTAATATTTTTAAAAATTTAAAAGCAAAAATAATTATAACCGTGCCCTATTCCACTACCATGCATATAGGAAAATGGACAAATCTATTGAACAAGCTACTCATAAAACCAGCCAAAGAGAAAACATAAGATACAGACACAGAACATCCACACAAAAAGCGTATGCTCAATCAAAGGTCATCGACCAAGAGATTGTGAAACACTCTTTGGCGATTGATCATATGCTTGAAGTGCTAACAATAGCTTATTGGGACTCAAACTAAGGATAGAAGTCGAGAAATCACACTGCATACTCGATGTAACAAGAGGCATATCCGATTCTCCGTTATCATAAGATACTTTCTTATTTGGCACACTAACTGAGAGATAAGACCCCAATTCAAATAGAGTTACCTAACCCTGAATTTGAACAGGTTCAAGGCCATTGCCAATTGAAGCCTTCACTGCATCAATGACCACTTGAGTTTTCCTGCTAATGGTTGGCCACTTGTCCTCAGGCTTTGAGTTGTTGAACTTAATTTCCCCAACCAATTGAGCAAATTCCTTCACCATGAGTGCCTCCTGAGGGAGATCTGTGTGTATAGCATGCACAATTGGGTTTGGAGCCCAACCTAAACCTAGTTCAACATAGTGAGAATTCGAACATGTGGAAAATGTGGCTTCCTTCTCTTGATTAGGAATAACATAATCGTGAACTCGCAAGGACCCTTTTGTCCCCATTGCACTTATATCCATTGCCATGTCTGATAAAAAGGAACAATAAAATGTTGCTACTTTTTCATCTTCCCACGTTAGAGAAGCCCCACAAGCTAGAATGACTCCAGCTTCGTTATACACAGGTTTGCTCAAGGCACGTGCTGTTTTGGGTAACTCATAGTTTGCAGCCCACAAGATTGCCCTCACACAATACCACCCAGTGTCACCAAGAGTTCCTAGTGCATCAAGATCTGGCTTTACACGAATGTCGTTCTCTAGAAAATAAGGAGTAACACCATAACTAAAGGTAGCATGTACCTGTGTACGTATGATCAAAATGACTAAACTATCAGTAATAATTAAGCAAAATTCAAACAATACAAAATAGAACATGCCATTGATATAATATTTACCAATACTAGTTCACATGGCTAATGAACTCAATTATATACGCGGGCGTTCCTTTTTACGGTATTCACAGAACTTGCACAAGTATATGGCATTTCCTAAAAATTTAAGATACGGGCAGTGACGGAATTGAAATTTTGAGTGATGAGAATGTGGACAAGGGCATTGTTTAACAACAATTTTTTTCATTAAATTATATTCAACAAAAATAACTGATAAATTAGTTAAAAGCTAAAATATTAGCTTTTAACTTAGGATGTGTTTGGCAAAATTAGTTGAAAAGATAGCTCAAAGGTGAAAGATGAAAGTTTAAAACTAGCCGACTGAATGGAAAATATTACACTGGTTAATATATATAAATGAATCAAACTATGTAGACCAAAAAAGTTAAAATTTAGTAATAATTTAAATTCTTTTATAATTTAATTTACTTAAAATTACTTATCATCTTGAAATTAGAATAATAAGTTTTCAATTTCACTCTCATTTGTAAATATTTTATTATAAAAGATAATATTTCATGAGTTGTTACTTTTTTCGCAAGAAATTAACAATTTATTATTTTCTAACATAATGAATGTTGTGACATTTATTATTTTTTAATATTATGTTTGACATATTTTTTTTCAGTAAAAAAGTAAATTAAATTTTATTTAATCATTTTTTAACTTCTGTATAAATAAAATTTATATGAAAAAAATATTTTTTCTTCGTAATTTTTTATTGATATGGAGATAAAGAAGTTCTACTAAAGATTAAATAATTTAATATTAAAACAAAAATAAAGTACTATAATCGAATGGTTGATATAACACACAAGTAAACACAGTAGGTAACTGAAATATGTTGTTAAAGATGCTCTTTAATCGTTAATTAAAAATTTATTAAGTTTGCCCATATTAGATAACATAAATTTAAAGGAACAATCGCCTATTTTTAAAAACCGTCTTAAAGTGCTTATAGTAGTTTTATATTTTATGTGATTTTGAACTCCTATTAATTTATTTTAAAAAAATAATGTAATGTTTTAAATACATAATACAATGAAATTTTATATAAATATTAAAGGTGAACATAAAAATAATAATAAAATGTCATATGTTTAAACTCTATTAAAATAGTTTCTGCAAAAGAATATATTATAAGTTAATGAAATTAATAAACTTGAAGAACTTATTCATTTGGACAAATATACTTAGTCAAATGATAAATTAATTAAAACTACAAATAAATTATTCATTATTTATGGAATCAAATCAGAAGAATATGTAGTTGCATGATTCCATTTTTTTTAATATTATAATGTCATACTAATATAATCCGAAAGAAAAATCCTACGTTACGCCATTGTTCACCAGTATTAAAAGCTTAAACCCATAAATTCATAAACAAAATGAAAAATGAGACTGTGAGAGATTGATAGAAAAGTGTTATTATTTACTGTGGGAAATATATATTCAAAATTAGCACGAGGTAATACGATACTATTTTATTAATGATGTGTTTGAATGATAGAAGAAATAAAGGGAAAGAAATAAAAAAAAGAGAGATGTCATGTGGTTTGCATAGAATTTCGTGCAAAGATTTTCAAACTAAAAGACAGTTTAGTTTGTAGAAAATTTGTACCACATATTTCGACGCCAAGTTTAGTTGATTGGTTGTTTATATATATATATACATGATTATGTAATTAAAAATTATATTTTTATATATTTTTAATGAAGATAAATAAAAACAAGAAGTTATTATTAACTAGTCTCCCAAGTAAAAAAAAAAAAACATCATGCTTAAATAACATATTCGTCTCCATTAGTTGACGAAAAGTTGGACTCATGACAAGACGCATTCATATAGTTTACTATAAAGAGCGAAGGCATAACTTTTATTTAAAAATAATCAAAATCAAACAACACATAATTTATAAATCAAATAAATTTATTTACAATGTGTATATTATATGCAACAAATTTTAAATATAACTAATAAAATATAAAAAAAATTACTTGGATTAAATTTTTAGTAATATTTATGTAGAATAAAAACTGAATCAAACAATTTTAAACTTTACACTAATATATAGACTTTGATTTTTTAAAAAAGATAAATAAAAAAAATTGAAGAGTAGCAAAAATGATTTTTACATAATAATATTAAAAAGGTGAGTGGAGAGTGTCTACATACCGATTGAAGGCGACCAAAGTGGTGGGGATCGGAGAGAAATTGAAGCATTTGGGGTGTTCTGGGATGGTGCATCCACATGGTAGCGTCCATGTACTGCACACCACTGGATTCACAGGCCTCCAATATCTTATCAAGTTCACCCACGTTCAGAGCCACTGGTTTCTCAAGCAGCAAGTGCTTCTTCTTCTGCGCCGCAAGCACAGCCCAACGAAGGTGCAAGCTCGTCGGAAGCGGCACGTAAACGGCGTCAACGTCAGGGTCTTCCAGAACTGCTTCGTAAGAGCCATAGACCTTCGCATCGGAAGGGAATCCATTGGAAGCTGCAAACTTCGAAGCCTTTTCCAGGGATCGGCTTCCAACGGCGTAGAGTGTGGCGTTTGGAGCAAGGTTGATGGCCCTTGAAACCTTCCTTGCTATCTCAGCGCACCCTAAGATTCCAAATCTTATTGCTCCTTTTTCCATCGTTGCAAGACTGCTCAAATGTTACTGTTGGCCTTTTTTCCACTTGCCTCTTACCACTTACCACTTGCTACATGGTAGTTTTATATAGCACGACTTGTGAGCTCTTATCTTTTTAATAAGTCATCTTTATTTAAATTATATAAATTAACAAAAAAATATTATATTAAAATATGATATTTTTGTTCTTATTTAGTATTATTATATTTGATTTTACCGTCAATATTTATAAAAAATAAACAAATAATACTTTAGAGAAAAATATAAAATATCTTATAATAAGGATTGTCAATTTTTTTAAAAGTACTTTATAAATAAGACTTGAAAAATAATATTATTTACACTATATTAATTTTGTTTACTTGGTCTTATTAATGATAAAAATAAAGACAGAATGGATGTTTAAAACATTAATTATATATTAAATAATTTTTATGACTAATTTTATTTAACAATTATTATATTGTTCATAGATTATAAATTTTCATTTATGAAAAATTATACACACTTTTTATTATTTTTTTAAAAAATATTTAAGATATTATAGTGATAAAGCAAGTTAGGAATGAGAGCTGAGAAAAGTTATGAAGTTGGTTAAATTTATAATTATCACTATACAACAACAAAATAGCATTTATATAATTATTTAAATATATCAATATTTATTTGACTTTGCAACTCAATCCCTTATCCTACAATTTCAACCCTAAATTGCGTAGACACAGTTCAAATGCACTTCAAGAAGTGGCAGCACTGGCATTGTTTAACATTGGAATGGATATCACTGACATCCTCAAGCTTAAATAAGGAGGTTGTTGTCATCACCAACAAAGACGTTTGACACTGGATCTTACGTCAAGGAGTTTGCTGTTATCTTGTCATTTTTTACAGGAAATTATGTTTTTTCATTTATCATCATTGTAAACAGCTCTTGAAGTTTTTACCCTTATGTCAGAGCAAGCGAATTACAACAATTCATCTATATTAGACACAATTCATAAAGAACCAGAGAAAGAATTGAAGTTTCCGCCGTATTACTCACTATAGAAAATTTTCATGTTATTCATTTGAGCTACAAAAGGTTGTATATATAAAAAATCATCATAAAATATGGGGTACAAAGTGTATTTAGAAAAACTTTAAAAAAAATTATAAATATGAATCTAATGTAAAATATACATCCTGTAACATTGAAACAAAGGTGACTTCACATGCATCTTAATATGAGAACAAACATGCTAATATTATCATCGTGATATGGTTTGGAAAATATATAATACATATATAAGGGATTGTTGATCTAAAGAAAATGGGTGAAGTGTTTTTTATTTTTTATTTTTTATTTTTTTTATCTAAGAGAAGGGGTATAGATTATAAGAGGGGGATAATGTTGTGGTTTTTGTGTATAACAAGATTTGCAAATACTCATAATTAGATTGTAATTGATACAGACAGTACTTAGTACTTATAAGAGGACATTTGAAAAATTTACACAATAATAAATGAGAGTCGTCAATTATTGTCATAGAATGTGTCACCTAATATGTCCTTTGTTCAAGATAATTAAGTGGTTTGCCTTTTTTTTTTTTTTTTCATTCTTCAATTCAATCTAAAATCAAAGCAAATTAGTAATTGACATCTAATTTTACTCACTCTTTTGAAAACATAAGTTGTGAGTCATATATAGAGTATAGGCAAAGGACATATGTACCATCTTTCTTTCATATATAAATAATTGACATTAATAACTTATATTATTAAAAACATGATTAGAAAAATTGGTAAGAATATGTATATTTTGAAGAAATAGTACACTATGAGAATACAAATTAATATAATTGACAAATTTACAAAATCTATCAAATTAATATTTCATTGTCAATAAAATAAAAATATATAAATAAATTTATAAATTGAATATATTAATTATATATGAGCAGTTCTTTTTTTCACAATCCTTGACTAGTATGATCCTACAACGGATCAACTATCTCCATCTCTTTTACTTTATTACCTGAAAATATCAGTAAGGATGAGTATTTCTCGCCCACTAAATCTCTTTTATTATGAATTATTATAAAAACAACTAAAGTTATTATCTAATACCCTATTCTAATTCATTATCAATATTTTACTCAATTCATATTGACACTCATCACATCCAAGTACATATAATAATACAACCATCAATCAGAACACACACACACACACACACACACACACACATATATATATATATATATATATATATATATATATATAAAACTTCATTCATTATACAAACATTTCTATGTTGACTTGTATATCATGATACATGTATCATATCATCTGTCCCAGTCACACTCGTCGATGTACTACAATACATATATCATAATAACATAAATCTATCTGTTACGATACATATATTATAATCATACAAATTCTATACTATTTCACATCTATAACACTTTCATAATAGTTGCTCCTAGGATCCCTTGAGGACTTCATATCATAGATAGCTGCTGGTTGGCCGCAACATCACGAATACACGTGTGTTGCCCTGGTCCCTTTTAGCAAAGGTATAATCAGGAGCTTCGTCAGGAAATGAGGGTGTGGCCTGTGAATGTTTATTTTTCAATAAATTATTGTGCACCCATTTTATAATTAGCATTCACTATTCTCATTTCTCCAAGATTTCCTAAATCTTCTCCGGACTCTATACCCCTAGTGTATCGCTGTACTATTTATACTTATTCTCTTTCTCTTTATCAATATTTCTCATTTCCATATTCTTTTTATCGATTAGCATGTCATAACACGTGAGTTACAATTGATATAAATTCGTGGATCAAAATATATATTATAATACACCCTGCAATGTGCTATAATATATATCGTAATTACCCTTTTCAAGTTACTTTGACTCACACATCATAATCATGCATCTCATTCACTCTCACTTTCATATATCATATATTTTCAAAATCAATCAACACTTCAATTATTCATGTGAATTTACCCAATTTGGATACATTTCAACTATCAAATCATATTTATACTTATTGCATCATACCAGTTTAACATAGAAAGTTATCATTCAATATCACACCATGCAATCAATACCATATGCCAAAGGTCGGACACCTTTAGACTCAGTCCAACTCGTACAATATCAATATGGTCTTCTAACCTAAAGTTCATTATTTTATATCCTTTATTACTTAACTCATATACATTCTCAGAAACTTAGTTTTTTAAGACCTCTTAAAGCTATTCTAGCCCATATCTTTTTCTATAAATTTGATTTCGTTAGTTTCAAATAAACCCCCTTTATACCAAAATACATTTTTATTATATGATTCATAGAGATCATAGATTAATTACTAAAATAGGTTGTTCATATTCTCCTAAGATCACCACATATGTATATATGATTAAAACTCAGGAATACTCTCCTTACCTGGTAACGATTTCTCAAAAAATAGTTTTCTAAGAGATCTAGAAAGAGAGATTCCATGGTATCCACAGAGATATCGTTCGAAGGATGAAGTTTCCTAAGTATTTCAAGATAGATATCTTAATATAAGAAGAAAATTGAAGAAAAGAAATAAATAGATATCTGAGCTCCGAGAAACTTACTTAGATCCGAATGAAATCAGAAGAGATTTGAAGTCCGAGAGAGTTTTCTTTAGAGAGAGGAAGAAGAGAAAACAAAGAAAATGAAGAGCGAAGGTCATTTGGTGAGAAATGAACGTTTTTGAGGCTGAGGTTCCTTAAATATCCTTCTAAACTTGCATGATCTCGCTTAAGCGTTACGATTCTCGCTTGAGCGAGCTTCCATTCTTGCCTGAGCTAGACAACCAGATAGCAAGACTACCATTTTTCTGATATTCTCGCCTGAGCGAGATTGAGTCCAGAGAGCACCCTATTTTTCCTGTGGCTCATCGCCTGAGCGAGCTCTATCTCGCTTGGGCAAGCTACTTCTAGCCTGAGCGAAATCCCTTTCTCGCATGGCCAATTGGATAGTTGGGGCAATGTTATCTCATTCTCGCTTGAGCGAGGGGTTCTAGAACGTTCTATTTTAGAAAATCCTACGTCGCTTGAGCGAGATCTTTCTCGCTTGAACGAGATATCTTTTATTCAAATTCCTATTTTTCCTATCCAAGAGTCACAAAATTGAGGATGTTACAACATATAATCATCATCTTTTTCCTTTATAGCAAAAGTTTAATGTATAAGAAACATAAGCTAGTATCATGGTGACAAGATTTTTTGAGCAATTTTTATATGCTAAAACCGTATATATGACAACTAAGTCCACAAAGTTATCATGCTTAAGAAAAAGGACAACACCATAAGTGATGAGTGCCAAAACATCAATGAATGTCTCTCAATCTTTATTTTCTACCAAATTATGCATATGTTACTCAAAAAGTTTTCTTGTAAGCCTTTTACTTTGATACTTCTCTTGGTAGGCTTGTTGCAACTCCATTGGGTGGATCCTTAAGATATTAACTATGGTCGGGAGGGGAGGGATGCATGGTGTTGCAAAGGAAAGTTTAAAATCTACTCAAATTCTTTTAGTGTTGCAACCAATTGGAAATCTTAAAAAGTGAAACATCTTATTGGAGAATCATAATACTGAGATAAGGCTATTATGGTATCCTTTTGTACATCAACCTTTATTGTGCTCAAAATATTTCTAAAGCCTTCTTACTAAGATGAGTTGTTGAATTGTTCTTAACTTCTTTCCTAATTCTCATAGACTAATTGTGCAACTTTCATAACATTCAAATATAACTTTCTTTTCAATTCAATTGATCACATTCTATTGCAACTTGATCACACATTAATTTTCATTTTTCTTAAACACTTAAACAACTTTGTGATTTTTGACCTATAAATGAAAACAAAAACATTGATAAATTATTCAAAATTTTATATTTGCTTCATTGACGTAAGATCCTAATGATAATAGGGATCAATATTAATTCAATGAATTATTTATAAAGTACAAGGATCAACATTGATTATAATGAAGCAAGCATCCATAAGGCACTTATATCAATGAAACAAATATAAGAGGATGCATGATGCAAGAAGAGTATG